TAATCCCATGACCGACATAGACTGGTGCTGTGATTCGCCATATGATTAAGCCGCCTCATCTCTCCCCGAGAGAAATATGCAATTCCCATCCTATCCTAGTAAATTCCAGTCTAACAGAGGAAAATATAGCGACCTCCTGAAATATGCGCACCAAGATTGCGCACAACCTGAACTCAGATTGTGTATAAGGTTAGATTTCAGGTTGTGCGACATCTTGGTGTGCATACTTCAGGAGTACCAAATATAGTCCAAAAAAAATGCTGACAAAAGTTGCTCGCCACCTAGTTTGACAGGAATGCCGAATTGAAAATCACTACGCATACACTTAATAGATTATTTAATTATATATCAAGAAACAATTTAAAACAAAACCTTCAATCCTGAGTGACTTCCAAGAACATCTAGTTTTCTTTTTGTGAGTTGGCTATTTTGCATGACAAGGTCAAGAGCCCTATTATTTGCTGTCAGTATTGTGTCAGATACGATTCATAAAAACCGAGAGTCAGGGATGGCCAATATTGAATAAATGTACTATTTCGAATACATTCAAAATTATTGTTTTTGAATATGAAATTTTGAATACATTGGAAACTAAATCCCAGTAAAGTAAGTTCATCTTAGTGTATGAAGGAATGTGCATACGATAAACAATGGAATATCTGCTATAACATTTTAGCTAATCAAGAAAGGCAGTTTCTTTCACAAAAGTGGTTGTTTGTATCAAACCTAGACCAGTGGATCCCAAACGGTGGGGTGCAGACAATTTTTTGAGGGGGTGTAAAGCTAATTGAAAACAAAATATTCGTTAAATTTGATCGAGCACGCCTTATCTTGGATATTTACATCTTTGATTTTAGATATTCCCGCAAAAAAGAAGACTTTACTGTCCAAATCTACCAATATCAAACATCATAAAACCAGCTGTTTTGTGTGTATTTTCCAGCCAACTCAACAAAAGAGCAACAGTGGCATGATATTATAATATAACTTGGTCATACTTTTAATCCAGAATGACTTCCAAGAGCATCAAGTTTTGCTTTTGTTAGCTGGCAATTTTTTGCAATGAGTTGGTCAACTTCATAGTTTGATAAAAGATCACCAAGAGCATCAAAAGCTTCTTCGCCCATTAAATTTTGACTGATATCAATAACGGACATCTAAAAACATAAAGATAACGAACATCAGTGCAATAAAGGCTGGTATTTTGGCATTTGAATGTTTGAAGGCTGGTGCCTACTAACACAGAAGAGTGAATTTAGAACCTCTAACTCAAGTTGATTTTTTGATATATATCAACATCACGCATCAAAATATCGTAAAACAATGAAAAATAAATGATAAGACTCAATTATATGCCATCCATATAATCCTTTCAAATACATTTCAACACCTCAAAAATAACTAGCTAACAATAAGCTACAAATAACAGACCCTTAGGCAAAAATATGTTTTGTTCAAAAAATACGTAGAAAATACATGGATGGAATGTAAATATTTAAAATAAACAAATGTAAATATCCAAAACGAGTCGGGCAAGATCAAATCTAACAAATATTTTTATTTTGAAATGGCTTCACGCCCTCTTGAAAAATTGTCAAACCATTGTGCCCTACCGTTTGAGAACCACTGCCCTAATGTGACTATCTTCAACAAGTAAGAAATGTTAATGTTCAATGCATGACCATGTTCGTAAGTTGACCTGTTTGATAGCTTGGCAAGATCTTTGTTGTTGCTGACATTTAGGTTATACAACAAGAATAAATAATTAAATTACAGTAGTCCTTCAATTCATAAATAAGTTGAATATTCTTTTTGCGAATTTATCATTCATCAATTTATTATTCTGCCTAATCTATGCCAGATGTTATGAAGAGTATCTGCTGTTCACTTATGCCAGTCCAGGTTTGCAACCTTTTTTATTGGCGGGCCAAATACAAGTAACTGAGTGAAGCTACGGGCCGCACATTTATTTAATTCAGACTTTTTAGTAGTTGCAAGCCACAAAAATTGCTTATATTTGCTAGTGATCTTACGGTATTATTATTGATTCTTGCAGAAATAGGGATTTAAAACGCGTAAACTTCTGAAGAAACTGCTATCTAAATGTATTGTCACACCCACTTTAAACCAATTCTGTGAGAAACATGTTTTTGTAATATATATCAGGTATTTTGCACAAAATTTTGCTAACTTGTTTTGCTATCGTTCCCATACTCCGCGTGCCGACCAGTATGGAATAGCGCAAAATGAACGAGGTTGCCCCCACAAGATTAGTTGTGATAGGTTTTGAAGTGTGTATTGGAGACTAGAAAATATGTAAGGGTGGTGGCACAGTAAATTTTATGATATAATACATACCTTCCCACAAGATTGGTATTCGCTCAATTTCTTTAATTGCTCTTTATTTGCTCTAGAAAAATCCAACGAATCCATTAGAATTTTTTTGACTCCACTTCGACTTGCAAACTCAGATATTGTAAGACATAGATCAGATGGCATTCGGCTGATGGATTGAACATCCAGAACATTGATCTGAAAAGTATTGCATCTGTTGATAAACTACAAGTATAAAGGTTCCTAGAATATGGAAATTTATGGGTATCACATTTTATCCCAGATCGATCAGATATCATTAAAAATAGCCAATAGCAATATTGCAGTAGGTTATCAAGGTGACTGCAAATGCACATGTTATTAATGTTTACATTTGATATGAAACCAGTATGCACACATACACATACAAAATAGCAAACAACTGATGGCCCCCACCTCACCCAGGGTTTAAAAAATTAGGTATGTTCTGCTGTAACGCAACCGCAAAACTTGAGACATTTCTATCAGAACCGTTACTCTTTCCATTTTAGTTCAAGAATCAAGTTCAAATTTGTTGAAAGCAACATCCCAAGCAACTCAATTAAAAGTGGAAAGAGTTCTGATAGAAGGGTTACAAATTAGTTCAAATTTGTTACAAATTGCAAATATGCAATTATTCTATAAAAACAATTTTCACCTTTAGTTGAGGGCTCAGGACCATACTTCGAGCAAACTTGCAACTCTTCAGAATCCCTCACGATTTTAGTTGGAACCCGAGACTAGACCCAGTTTAGGAGGGCCCGGGACCTTGCTTTGGGCAAACTTGCAACGCTTCTATCAGAATCCTCTACAAGTTTAGTTGAGGACTTGAGACCTTGCTCTGGGAAAATTAGCAACTCTTCGATCAGAACTCTTTACTTTACGCTTCTAGTTAGGAGCTCGGGACTTTGCAACTCTTCTATCAGAACTCTTCCCACTTTTAGGAATTTATGCTCTTTTAGGATTCAGAACCTTGCGTTGAGCAAACACTTTCACCGCTCATTATTATAGCCGACTTTTTTAGCGGATGACTTATTGTACCTTAAAAGTATTTATAGTCTTTCTATAATAATATAATTGTGTTCAACATTACTTACCATTGCAGTCTCTTATAACAAAATAAAAGCACTACCAATTGAATATAACTATTTCAAAGGTTTTGGACTTAGTTTACCTTTCCACAAACTTTCCATTTACTCAGTTCCAACAGTTGCTCTTTGCTTGCCTTGAAGTAATCCCACGGATCTATCAAAAGTTCTTTGACATCATGTTTAGATGCAATCTTGGCAATTGCAAGATACAGATCAAACGTCATGTTTGTGATATTTCGAACATCCAGAACTTGGATCTGGGATAAATAAAATTGTTTGTTTGGTGAATAAAAATACAAAACCCCAAAGCTGCATAACTATACTGGTGAAACCTGACTTGAGATTTATCTAAGATATTCTCTTCGTAGATACACTGATTTACAAACCACAAACACATCACCATCGCAACCATGGTCCAAATGAATGGAGCAGACAATGCTGAAAACGATAGACTTCAGTTTTTCCAGACAATGTAGCTAGCTACCTTCCATATCAGTAGCTGCTTGTTCAGAGCCTTGTTCATAGTGAAAGCCATGATTCCATGAAATAGCGTTTTATGAAAAAAATAATAAGAAAGAAACAATAATTGCCAACAATATATTAGTACTACATGCAGGCCATATTGTTTCAACACTGGCCTGGCTTTTTAAAAGCATACAGTCAAAGTTTGCAAGGCTAGTTGAGTTCTCTTTCCTGTAAGCCATAGTTGGGCGAGAAACAACACTAGGATTGATTAGTGAGTTAAATGGATGTGAGGCATTTCAAATGTTTCAAATTTAGTTTACCTTTCCACAAACTTCCCATTTACTCAGTTCCAACAGCTGCTTGTTGCTTGCGTTGAAGCAATCCCACGGATCCATCAGAAGTTCTTTGACATCATGTTCAGATGCAAACTTGACAATCGCAAGATACAAGTCAAACGTCATGTTGGTGATATTTCGAACATCCAGAATGTGGATCTGAAATATATAATACCTCTGTTAGGTTGATAAAAATCTAATTCCTCATAGTAACTAGACCAATTAAATATAATTTGGAAGATCATTTCTAGCGAATATTAAAATGTTAATGGAGTTTGTATAATTTAACAAATTTAAATAAAAAAAAACAGAGCAAACTTACTAACAAAATAAAAACCAAGGATTAAGGAATTGGAATAATGAACCATCTTAAAATTTATATTTCGACCTGTAAATGGGAATGTCTTCCAAGCACACGAAACTTTTCTTCTGTAAGTGAGCAGCCACGCATAACGAGTTTTTCCACTTCAATGTTTGTTAAAACTGAACCAAAGATATCAAAAGCTTCAACGGACATCGGATTTAAGCTGATATCAAATTCTGACACCTGTTAGGATGCAATACAAATTAATATCAGAAGTATAAAATAAAGTTAAGATATGTTCGTATAACTGTGATAATTCTAACATTTTAAGGTAATCGACTAAATATACATTAGTTTGACAGATGGGAGATACATTTTTTATCTCATGATGTGAAATTAAGTGTATTCTTTGTATTATTTTCGTCAACGATAATATGTAAATTAGGTTTTCTACTAAACACTTGCCTTCACTATAGAGCCTTTCAAGTTGAACTCGAAGTGTTTCAATAATTCTGCATTGAGCTCACATTTGACGAGGCGAACTTGTTCAAGATGACCACATCGTCGCATGACACATGACATTGCACACATACCTGCTGCAGTGAAAGACTCATTTTCGAAGTTGATTTCTTGAACATGGGATCTAATGAGCTCGGCATCATTGGCTTCATATAACGCACCAAACAACTCCAACTTCTGATAGGATTTCGTACATTGATTTATCTTAGTTGTGAGTGCATGTTTGAGACAATTTTGCTTTTCTAGTCCAGTCTCTGACAAAAAAAAAATTCAAAATATTTAGAAGCAGGGTTTACACTCTCCGGCACCCCATTCTGTTACCAATACAACGGTTATATTAAATAGTTACTTTCTACTTGTGGTAGATGTTGCATTGACCACTTAGCCATCTCGAATGCGGTAGGGTAATTAGAGTAACTATGGCAAAATTATTCCTAGCTCTTGGCGCAATACGATAATATTTGATTTATTCAATAATTGTAACGTCCCGATTGCACTTACCAGTTGTAAGATCTCTGATGAATTGAGCTTTAATTTTTTGATCGAAAACAGTTCCACACAGGAGCCGTAGAACAACGGACCAGTGATCCTTGTGAATCTCGTTAGTGACGAATGCTTGAAAAGTTGCGAGATCCATGTTGGCGATGTACAGAGCAGCTAACATTTCTTGAAGGATTTGATGACTAAAGAACATCAAAGTGTCACCTTCCAAAGGATGTTGATTAAGTAGTGGGCTGCCTCCAGGTACTTCTATGATGAGATCACGTACCATTTCTTTTGTAAGTCCTGCGTTTTTTAAATCGGTATTGTTGAAAATAACTCGCTTTTCTCGAGTGGCTTCAAATGACATTTTCATCAAATTGTGAAGAATTATTTCAATCAATTTCTTCTCCTGAGTGTGCGAGGAACGCATGAAAATATGAAGTACTTTTGTCATTACATCAGTCATTGTATTAGGCAGATTCTCTGGGTTGGATTTATGAACGATTGCATTGAAAATCAAGAATAAAGGGACAGAAGACAATGGCACGAGTGCAGGTGACTGAAACGTCATCCTATTCCAGGATTCTTCCCCTGTTTCACCTACAACAGCAGTAAATAGTTTTCTGGTGTCATCACGTTCAAGGCCAGCAAGAGCAATAATTAATGGGGGTCGTAGCTCCAGGGGAAGGGATGCCATCCTGTGTTCGCGTGAAGAAATAACTAATGTTACATGGGGGAACAAGTTGCCTGATAAGATATTAAACATGATTGTGGCTGTACTAGATCTATCAGTATATGTCATTTTATTGTAATTTCCCTCTAGATTCCATGTAACCTGATCCAGGCCATCAATGAAGAAAATTGCTTCTGATTGGTGTTGCTGAAGCCATTTATATCCCTTTTTTAAAGTTTGACCTGATAGATTGGGTGCAAAGTTTCCGAAAAGCAGAGTACATGGAGTTAAAGCTTCTTCTGGTGTTAAACCATAAGAAACAAGAAGGTCTCTGAAATTCAAGTGATGAACAAATTTGAATCCATTTTTCTGTTTCTTGAACAACCGAGCAAACAATCCCAGTTTTGCTTCAGATTCGTTATCCAGTTCATTAGCGACGAGAACGCCTCGTGCAGTACGCTTCATCATTGTCGTCTTGCCCCCTCCAGCTTGACTTACTAGTCCTACGCATCGGCAACCTTCCTCACACAGCTGTTGGACTAGTTCATTTGGTGAGATCACTTCGACAATATTTTCATTCGCTTCTGTGACAGCGAACTCTTTTTCCTTTCTGTACTCTGTGACATCAGGTGCCATCTGTCCCCTGTAAAAACCAGTCACTTTGTTTAACTTGGGATTGACCTCAAATTCAGGTTCTTCCAAGTTTTGATCTTTGTAGCTTTCTGTAACATTGACTGTTGTTTGCTTCCATGTTCTCCAATTGAAATAATCAATGAAGCTTCTCACACCTGAACAGAAGATTTCTATTAAGATTTTGATTAAAAGGAGACTTTAAGTTAGATATTAAAAGGATAGTATTTACATATAGGATAGGTTTTACACATTTATGCTGGAGGGAAGAACAGAAAATCAATAAGACAGCTTATCCATATGGCGAACCACAGCCTCTCGTTCGGTTATCAGTCAATGTCGTGTATGAATTTAGATAGCCGGTTGATTGTTTTTGGATGCATGGACTTTATGGTGAAGGAAGCCACAACCAACCAGTGATCACGTGAACCACGAGTAGTTTTAGTTTAGTCACAGTAATTAAAAATTAGTCCAAAATAGCTGTGATATACTTGAAAAAGAGCCAGTGCGCTTTATTAGAAAATAGCTAATTATCCAGATTATGGTTATGAAACACGTAAACCAATGGTTAAGGGTCGGGAAACATCCATCAAAATACAAAAGTTTTAAAGCTTCGTCAAATTACGAAAATTAGCCCGCGTTTGGTTTCCAGTCCATGTCAGGAGTGAGAATAATTGACACGTTATTTGTGTCAGATGCATAGACGTAGTGGTGGAGTAATAACCAACCAGTGGTTAACACTTTAACATGTTCATAAGAAACACTATTTTTTTGGGTAAGCTACTCTCGAAGTATGTGTACCAGGTTAGGGTCAGCCATAGGTTTCAGTCCATTTACACAACTTGATGTAAATTAGGCAAACAAAATTAGTTATCGCCATATCGGTACACATACTTCTGGGTCGCCATTTTTTGTTTATTAATAATTTTTTCATTAAATTAAAGGTGTTCACCTCCAAAAAGTTTCTCTGTAACTTGCTGGAAGAAGCCTAAAAAAAAAAGCATATGTCAATGTAATGATAGATTTACAATAGTTTGTAGAGGCAAAACCATGAAAATTTGTTTGGTATTGACTTTTTTAGATCCAAGCCATATAAAGATGATGAATAAATGAATGTTGTTCGTCTTAATTAACCATAAAATTTCAACTTTCCTAAGATCGTGAGGCGGTTACATAGAAGAGCTGTGATTCAGATAATTACTCTTGTTATGCAAAAATTAAATTGCAGTGTTTAACAATGAATAAATCAAGAAAACGTGACTCGTCAATATTTTACAAGCCATATGTTACACTTGTAAGTTCATCTTGATCTTGTAGACACAATTAGTTAGTGATTAGTAAGAAGTTTGTTGGACCTAGCAAGGTTGATAATTTTAATTCGCAAAAACATACCTTTTGCTGGTGAAATGACTTTATACACAGGAGCAATGGCTGTGCCTGTATCTGACAATGGTTGAACAGGCGTTCCAGTTGGGACTGATGACGTGGAAGGCTGTGAAGGGGCTGCATCTGGAGAGAAATAAAAAAAATAGTTTACGAAAGTTGAAATATGGTATAGTGTGAATTGTAAAAATGCATTATGTGCATGACTAGAAAACTGTATTAGAACAGTGATTGTGATACCACTGGTTTTTGCATTGGTTTGCTTGATAAAAACCTGATACTGATCAATGTGTTTGCACAATAAAAGTGTTTGTTTTGTATTGCACTGTTTACCTAATCCTGGCATTATTGTGGCCCGTGAGCAATGCAAAAATAATTTTGTGGCCCCCGGAGCCGAAAACTTTGGACCACGCTAGCCTACACTCTAGGATAGGATAGGATGTTTGGCCGCTCAATCGACCATGACTTCTCGACCGGTTACCAGTTCATGTCGGTATGGAATTAGTTGGAGATCTAGCAGATAAATATCTCCAGGAGATTAAAACTTACGAACCCACGCAAATTAACCAGAGGTGCGGTGGTGAGCGTGTTCCTAACGCTTAGCACAATGTGCCACATCCCCATGCTTGATTTTATATCAAATTAGCAAGCAATAGCATTGTGACATTATCTCCATAAAAAAATAATTACCTGTATGTTCTATTTGGATGTTGACAGGGCCATGAAAATGTGTGATTGCTCCCTTGCCCTTTAGTTATCGTTGCGTCACCTAAAAATTTTTTTATAGAGAGGCCTCAAGTATAATACACCACCAATACATGATACATAGATTATTTTAGAATATGGAGCATCAGAATTTCCAATCCAAATGCACACACATACCCATTTAGTGATTTATGCCGATTGTACAAAGTTAGAGAAACGACCCGGGGGTTACAACGACAGCAGTTAACAGATGTAACTAACATTCTTATCAACTTTGACTCGCAATTTTTTCAATGCTTGAGTTAATGAATTGTTTAGGACTCTTGCTACTTTTATTAACAATATATTTATTTGACTATTATGCTTTCCCGAAACAAGCATGTTCTGATCTCAAAAGACTTTGGCTAAATAAAATTAAAAGACTCATAAGTCATGACTAATATATATGAGAATTTATTCGCCAGTTGAAAATAAAATAATCAACTAATATTTTTTTTTACATTTTTGTCAGTGCATAATATGCACCCTCATATTAAGAAGACAACATGTGACCTTGAAAGTGCGTATTAAACGTGGAAAACACTGTGATTTGAAACGAATAAGAAAGACTATTCATTCAGTGCTTCCCAACCTAAGTATCGCGATCCTCAGCGGAGTCGCCTGAAAATGCTCTTGGGTCTCTTTGTTTTAAACAAAGAATTAGAAGTTATATAGTTTATTTTCTAGGAAATTTAATTATTTATTTTGTATTGAAGTGTTATCAATAATAATTGGAATGTGGGAAATAGCAAAGTGTTAAAACTTGTCAACTTACCGTATATGATCGCGTATAGGCCGAGTTTAAAACTCAAAAAAAAGTTGCCAAACTAAGGGACCGTCTTATACGCGCATGACTCAGATTGCACCAAAAAAATTGGCTCATTCACGTATCAGAATTTGTTCACGCAACGAGATGATATTATGCTGACTTGCCGGTAATTCCAAAAGCTTCAAACCATACCAATTTCTCACGATAAAAAGCGTCGCACACACACACACACTAGCTTGTGAAAGTGGATTGTCTTATCATACAGCTGATGGCTAGTACAGTCTGTGATTGGTTGTTTAACACGTGACGCTTGTACGGGCTGTGATTGTTTGTTTTCGCTTGTGTTTCTTTTATATAACAGCAACAGTGTCGATTTACGGCCAGTTGTTTTGTGGTGAAAACTTTATTATTTGGTGCATTTTCGCCGTAGAGGCAATTAACGGCGCACGACTTTTAATCACCTTTACGATATGGATATGTTATCCGTTAAGGGGCGGTGATAACGACTCTTATCGAAATTAACCGCGTTGTGGACGATCAAAAGAAATTGTTTTATGCTGACTCAGGGACTCTCTTAAACTCCCGACAACAATCCCTTCCATTAATACAAATCACGACGCATGAAAAGCAATATAGACTTTATTAACATGAATTTACAAGTAAGACTTACGAGTAAGGATCTACGGACGTCGCTAACAAACAGAAATGATAAACGTTAGAAATATTTGTGTTACAGCGATTTTGTTTTCTTTCTGCGCCTTTCTTAAGGCGTCTGGCGTGTTAAGATTCGTAGCGATTTATAAGAATGTGTTAATACAGCGTTATTTCTTTCCTTGAAACGGACAAGGAACGAAATTAATCGTCGTTGTGGCGATCGAAGGAAATTGTTTTATGCTGATTCAGGAACTCTATTTTAAACTCCCGACACAATCATGACACATTGAAAAGCAATATAGACTTAATTAACATAAATTAACAAGTAAGAGTTACGGGTAATAATCCACCTGCGGCCCTCGCTGACATGCAGAAACGATAAACGTGAGAAATGTTTGCGTTACAGTAATTTTGTTCTCTATTACGTTTTTCTTGAAGCGTCTGGCGTGTAGGACAGGCTTATGTGCGATTTTTTATAAAATCGTTGTTTTAAGGCTGTTTTTAGGGAGTCGGCCTATTCTCGATATAGGCCTAATTTCGGGAAAATACGGTACATTTGATGTACAATCACACAACTACACACGTTTAGTATTGGAGCATATTCTTGCAACTTGAAATAATACAAAATTTATTCTTTAAATATGGATCACTCAAAAAAGGTTGGGAACCCCTGGACTAATCTGTTCAAGAACTTACAAACAATCCAATTACCAAGTGCTTACCTGCAGTCATGTAAATGTTCGATGAAGCAATATCAACATTGGCATCTTGCTCTGCTTGCAAATATGTTGCAGAACCTGAAATGAAGAATAATGAATAGGGATGAGCTTATAAAATGAAATTTATTGACAGTGAAAAAAGCAGCATTATGTCAAATCTCGTGATACAGACAACGCAGCTGTTTAGAGAGAACTATCAACTTAGAGGGTATGAAAACATATCAGAGTCCAGATAGGTGAGATAACACTCTGTATGAAAAACTACCATGTCAACTTTCCAACGATTTCATTTGTAATAAAAAAGTCATAGTATGTGATACTGCAAGGCGGATCTGACACATTTCATAGAAGCTTCAGTGTTGCCTCCATGTTGACTAAATGTAGCATTTCTAATTTAGATTAACTGGAAACCAATAGCACTATATGAGAACAAACTTTAAATACATTCACCTGCCACAAGCACATCTTCATTGCTTATTTTTAAATTTACGTTGCGTTGCTCTCTGCTTTGCATATGCGATGACAAACCTGAATTTGAATATGATAAATGTTGTATAAGGTTAGAGAGAAAAATTTCCATATTTGGTATTCTATGGTTGCCTATCGTCGTCACGCTTAAAATGAAAAAAAATCTCAAAAGCAAAAAAATTGGAAAAAATAAAATTTGTAAAAAAAATAAAACTATTTTTCATCCTACTACACCTATTCAGTATGATGGGTGGGATAATCAAACACTGACGATGCATACTTTTAAATTATAATTCAATGACTTCTTTTAATTTTTCAGATTAAAATCTATTTAAACAGTTCTAATGAATACGAACATGCACAGAGAAACATCACAGGATTGTGAGTCATATTCGCTCTGTTTAATGCATGTATGTGATAACTCCCTCCTCGTCGCATGGTGCTAGAGGGTCAAAATGAGGAAACAAGGCTTACTGTAACTATATACCTCGCTTATATTATAATTTGAGTTTCACTTTCGCAAAGATTTCATGACATACAAAACTTAATGGTATTGAAGCTGGAACTCCAGATCAGAAGATAAAATGAAATTCTGGAAAATTTGTAATTTCCCCCTAGCTCCCAGACTTATGGGCAGGATCGTCAACCAAAAAAAAAAACGGTGGCGTGTTCACACATTGTTACATCTGATAACCTTTGATTTTATCATTATACTAAATCAGTGTTTCCCAACCCGAGTCCGCGTGTCAAATGAGGCCGCGAAGCGTTTGAATGGGTCCGCAACGAGCCAGAAATTCACTGCGGGCCGCAAACGTTTTTGCAAAAGTTAACTATCAGCCAAGTTACGATTTACGTTAAAATTCACATAAAACATAAAAAGCAAGTTTATTCACATAACAATAATCAAGTCAATTATTACTAGTTACTGAGTATGGCTGGGCATATATATTCAACTATTAGAATAGCAATTCACTATACGAAAATTTGGTAACAGGTGACGCGACAGGTCGAAACGATTGGATTTCACAACTCACTTGCGAATTTCCGACGGCAACGAAAACCCGAGCACACACGCGTGGTGTTTCTCGCGAGTTCGAACAACGAGAAATAATTTCTTTTTAGTAGGTGGTATTGGTGGCAACCCAAATATTCTAAATTGAAAAGCGGCAATACAAAAAAATTTAAATAAAACGGAGAACACCATAACTTTTGTTTTATAATTGTACGCGACCGATTATAAACGCTTCTTCAGACATTGCAAATCGCAAAATTTCGGGTGATACTGGAGTATTATATGTACCAGGCCTTTTTCCCTTAGGCTTCCACATTGGTACGTACAGTACTGGAGCGCCATAGGTGTTGTACGAACAGCTCAGTTTTGTTGAATTCACAAAAATACGAATCAAAACAAAATATAATCGGGCACATTACCACGCATTTTTGTGTCCACGGATTGTCATCATATTTTCTGATTAGTATGCTTCTATTTCGTCAACACAACCGCAGATTAAAATGATTACCATTAAATTAATATTAAAGTAAGGCGTTATTTTTTATTTACAAATATACTTTAAATATATATTTAATAAGAACTAAATCAAGTTGTACTTTTGGAAATTTATAGCAGATAGGACTTTTATAACGGCGATAACAAATTTGCAAGATCTCTAAGAATATGTATCAAAACTAAATATAATCGGGCAATATGTTAGCAGATTGCTATGGCATTGTCGTAAGTCGACTCAACCGCGAGTTACCAGGAACACAATTAAAATAGGAAGACATTTTAAATTCTCGTCGTTGCCATGGATTGAATATAGTGCGATAGAAAAGGCCATTAACACTAAAAAAATCGACTCTGCTTACGGACGCGTAATTGCGCGAAATTCCGATTTTGAAATTCGTTCAAATTTCGTTGTGTTTGGTTTTATTGCTTCTTCACACGAACGGTTGCAATAAACGCACCTTGAGTCCGCAAAGGTTTTCACCGGTGAAAAATTAGTCTGCGACCAAAAAAGGTTAGGAAACACTGTACTAAATATTCAGAATGCCATTCAAGTATCTATTCAAGTATCTGATATCGCGGGACCTGTGCTGTTTTTCTTGGAAATGGTGTCCGGCGTCACTAAATGAACATTTCAAATTCCGGGAGAATTTGCCCATGGTTCTTGCTAACATACCAAAATGACAAATTTTACAAAAGTATTTAGGTTAATTTAATTTCTAAATCTTGCTTAAGCGGGCTAATACCGCCTCGTAAATATGGATGTTAAAACAAATTATCCAACTGGACTTGACATCAACATTTAATTTTACATTTTCCAACTAATTTATCATCTTAATTATGTCCATTTTCCTTTTTTCTAAAATGCCTAAAAAAGTAACTAATTTTCAAGTGCCTACTTTCAGTCCGTCCCCACATATACCTCAGATGCAACTTGAATTATTATTCCGAAGTATGAAGACTAACTAAAGCAAAAACCGATCTCCTCTAACGTATTCAAACCTACGAGTGGTCTAAAAAATCAGCACAAGCAGCTTCAAGCCTGATTTGAACAAACCTTTGGACGCCTGCAGTAGCCTGCATTAGTCCGATTTATCATTGTGTCATTTGGTACAATAGATGTTTGTTGTACATTATCTGTTACGCTAGTTTTTTGCAAATAAACTGTTTTAATTCCTAGTTTCATATTGAGCCTCTTGTCCAATAAGCAAGTCTGTTATCTGGAACTGGCCAACTCAAAAAAGTAATTGCCACACTTGCTCTACATGCTCAGAAGCCACATTTGATTATGTAATGAAACTTATATTGTCTTAGTGAACAGAAGTATGAATTTATTGCATACAAAATGTCTCCCAACTGCAAGTCCAATTTACCCCCAGTTAAGAACCTCTGAATTAGAGCATTGAAACTATGTCAGTGCCACAGTTGAATATAATTGGTTTCCCCACTTCACCTAAGATGGGATAAATTAGTTCTATATTGCTCTGTATGAAAATACTCGACATTATTCTTGGTTCATACCTGATGAAGAGGAAATTCCCTTTTTTTTCATTTTTGGTTTGGCCGATGGTGCATCATCCTGCACTTGATGTTGTAGTGCAGGCGCATCATGTTGTAGTTCAGCTTGTGGTGCTGCTGAAATAAAAGTATAAAGTTAGACAATACCGGGATTATGTTGTGTGATAAAAGTACAATTTTTCTAAACCAAAACTACCATCCAGACTTTCCCCTAAAAAATTACTATTAATTAATTAAGCATGTCAGTGCTATATATTGTCCGATAACACATTTTTCATATCCAGATGTAACCTAATTTTCTGGACCATGGTTGTGGAGAAGATATTTTTAACAAAAACTTTTAATATAAATTGACACAAAGCACTCTTTGTGGCTGTCCCCTTTTTTATGCTATAGGCAAACAAAACATATGGTGCATGTCTGTACAAAGAAACTTCCAAAAACCGTGTTAATTCATTTAGCATTTCGGGGCTGTCCATTAGGTTTAAAGGAAGCGTGATAAAAAAAAAATTTCAATTCACCTTGATGAACTTTATTTGCCTAAATTTGTCTTTCTTAAAGTTTACTCGTGTCATAAAACAAATAATCACTCCAGCGTGGTTAGATAGCTTTTTCCTAAGGTCTTCCAACTGAAGTTCCAATAGCATTATAATACCTAGTTTAAATTTCATAAACACTTGTCGACTGGTGACGATAAATATACCAATAACACTCGCCACAACGAATTCTGCGTCCTATTAGTATGAAAGGCACTAGTTCACGGAAACTTATTGAAAGTCAATGGCAAGCATAATATTTTAATATTACATACATAACCATAGAAAATACAAGCCGGTAGCCGCCCAAGATCTCCACTGATTCATAAGGGGACCAGCATTTCAGTAAACCGTTACCATCCACCAAAATTGCACCTATAACAACTGCGTACTGCGGAGACTGGGATAACAAAACTGCCAGTTCATTTTGAGCACTGCACGTCTCAGTGGTATTCTTTTCTTGAGCGATATACTGAGGATAATAAGTAATCATGTTCACTAAATTTTCTAAGGCTTCACCTGTTTTTGGATTAACGACATGAAAAATGGCTTGTTTGAAAGAGTATTTACTTCTGCGAGTGGTAGCAATCTCCAAATTTTAATTTTGGAGGTTGTTTACAAGATATTGTTGACAAATTGTGAAAAACTAGACGGTCAGCGTATTTTATCTCTGATGCCTTGGAAACAAAACACCAATCCAGACTTTCGATGACGCGCACATTCCTAAGGTGACAGCATAAGCCATGTGAGAAATTTCAACCAGATCGGCACAGTAGTTTAGAGGCTACAACTAAACACAGACAAAGAGACAGAAAGACTAAAAACAAGGGTCTCCTAGGGCGGAGATCCAATAAAAAAATAAAAACCGCCCGAGTTTACTGCAAGTATAAAGAAATTCATTGGCGAAAAGTAACAAGTCGACATGAGTTTACCGTATTTGCTCGTTTTGTAGCCCGGGCCCATATTTTTTTTAACCAACTTACTTACCGGGCCCTTATTCAAACCGGCCCTTATTCAAGCACGGGCGCTTGTTATTTTCGATCGTTACAATAATTAATATATTGTTATTTCCAGTTTTCAATTATGATTTAAACGAGAATAACGAATGTTTTGACTTATTCTACGCACCGCAGGTGCAAATTCGCAAAAGAAGAAAAGTTTTGCGATCCCCTATCATTTGAAACGACACATTTGGGCGTCGCGACGCCCAGTTTGAGAACCATGGTGTTACGTAATCAATGCTATCTGGTATGTACGTGGATGCCTAAGGCGTGAGTGTTATCTACCGGCGCTTAAAATTCAACAGCGTTGTGACAAAAGCGCTTCTTATTTCCTATTATTCTATACCACTGAAAAATCAGCTTTTACATCGGGCGGGTATTCAATCACCGGCCCTTATTTATTTTTATGTTCTGTTCACACGGGCGGCTATTCAAACGGGCCCTTAATCAAGATTGTGCGGTAAAACGAGCATATACGGTATTCATCTCAAATAGTCCATTTTACCAGGGAAATCAGAGTGAGACAGCAAGAGAGACAAAAGTATTTTCACTTGAATTTTCCTAACTATGTACGTATGTCTCAACTATGTATGAACATGCCATTCACACCCTATGCATTCATATTAAAAAAAATTACCATTATCTCCAAAATGCATGTGAAGGTTCACATTGTCTACATGAATCACTTCTGCTTGAGCTTGAACTACGTCTGCCTGAGCAACAATCTGATTTACATGTCCTGCATGCAGTTCATCGATGTGTGCCCCTGAAACAAAGTATATTTTAAGAACCATATTATGTATTTCTTCTGATAAAACAAAAATATAGGTTTATGATTCAAGCTATGGTCAGCGTCCTTTGCATTATAGCGTCACTGTCCTTTTCAAAAAAGGTTCTAAGAGAGCTTGAGCCATTGAACTAAATTAGTGAGCAATACTGCAACTAGTAATCAAACATCAAAAAGATATAAACATAACTTATGTTCTAAATGACGAGCTTGTTCTGAAATTTTTTGATGTAAAAATTACAAATACATACCTAGAATGTTCACATTAGCTCCCTCTTGTGGTTGATTCTGATCTGCCATTTTTTCCAGACAAAAGTCGAAACGTGGGAGATATGCTGCCAAGTACTACTTTCAAGTATAATTATATATAATATTTAATATCTGTTGAACATAAAAGAACAAATTTTGAAAAGTCAGAGAAAGTTATAGTTACGAAAACAATGAAAACAAAAAATCTCAGCCTGGAAAAACAAAATTAAAAATAACCATAGCATGCCTTCCAACCCCATGTTAACAATAATAATGCCAGACTACACATGACAGTTTAAAGCTGACAAGTTCACTATAAATTTGGTTACAGGGCTTCACAGAGAGATAACACATTTTGCATTCACTGCCATCCTGTTTTTCCATATAAGGAATTATTATTTCCATCAAATGGCATTTCATGTAAGTACGCCGCGACGGTGTGGCTCATCGTACTAAGCGTTAGAAATACGCTCGCCACCGGAATGCTGTACCCTCGTCACTGTAGAGTGGGTCACGTGAATGCTGGTCACCCACGACTTCATACACCATCAATGCATCTGGAAAAATACCTAACTAACTAATCCTTACCAGACACAAACTGGTAAACGGATGAGAAGCCGTGGTTAATCATACGATTAAGCGGCCTTTCCTCTTCCCTGAGATAAATATGTAAAATGTACAGTCATGGCTTCTTCCACAGACCACATACATAAATCTTCTATAGCCAGTAAGCTATCTTATATATGAAATAGACTTAGTAAGTAACCTATTTTAAATTCCTATCCAATAAATAAAATAAATTATTCAGTGTTCAATGCTAGAACACAACTCAGAAATAGGCTGACTCAGAAATAGACAATAAAATGATTGGTAAAAAAAATAAATAAAAACTGATTATGAAATCAGGAGAGCAAACAAAACCTTAGATAAGGTTTAAAACGTACAGAATGTATACAAGATGGAAGGTTTTGCCAAGAAGAAGTGGTACGTGTTCACTCACCTAAAATAATTGAAATATCTCACACACGCACCCACACACACAACCATACAGAAGTTATAAATTACATACGGGTAGTTAAAAAAAATAAAATAAAAATTACTTTAAATAAAAAAAATTAAATAAATAAAAATTATTTATTACAGGTTATCAAAGTTTAACATGACGCATTTTTATAACCCTTCCAACCTTTTAAAATTTTTTGCAACCCCGTGTTTCCAATCAAAAGTCTACAGAAGGGCAATATATATAGTACACTGTGTGAAATTGGTTTTCTCTTTGTGACCTCTAAAATCCAATAAGGGCCCTCCTCTGGGTTTGCAACTTCCAGTTCCTGATCTACAGGATAAGTTGAAGTAAATTTAGGCTATAGAGGTTACTGCAATCAAAGCTTTCTCATAGGCTCACGCTATTACATTAATTCATGAATGTTATTCCTAAATTGTGTAAAATTTGCGATTGAGCAATTAAACTAATCCCAACCTACTCTTAATACTTAGGTTATCAATAAATCAGCAGTTAACAAATTAATAGTACCGTAATTATTTTTCGTTATGCTTTAGTTCTGATATGTAAGCAGGGTGTGTACGATGCCAGTTAGACATTGAACACACAACCTGTCTCACTAGTCTCCTGATATATTTACACTTTAAATGTTATCCATACTACATGAAGACGACTGAAATATAACATAATAATAACAGTATAATTTTAAAACAAGTGTGGAATCTACCATAACGCTAAAGCATAAATGATTATCACTATTTCATATGGGATACACCAAGTAGGATTATTGAAATGTTAGCCCTTGATGTGTTGCCAATATATGGCAACACAGATTGGGTATAAATTATAATATTTCAATAATGGTTATTTATAGTTTATATACAACTAACTATATACCTGGAGAATACCTGTAGTACAACAAGAATTTCAATTTGTTTTTTTTTCTTCAGATTTCCATGAATCGAGTTATTTGTTTTCCTTCAAAACGCAAAATTAGATTAAAAAGTTTTTGAAACGGGCGGACGCCAACAATTTTGAAGCATTCTAAACAGATCTGTGGTCAAAATAATGGAATTTCCCTGCTCTACAATATACAGTCTGCAAAATAGTTAATGCTACAAATATAAAATTCTATTACTACTAGTTTTCAAATATTTTTATTTTTCATTTTTCCACTCTAAAAACTTGGATTACACCTGTTCAAATGTCAACAGAGTAGATAGGATAATTTTGTGAGTATTTTAAAAGTATTGGTGATGGAACTCTTGATTGGATTAGTACACATGCCCCACAAATATTTATGAAATTTATTTGGGACATAGGACATAAAATAATACAAATCAAACTACCAGCAATATAAATGAAAATAATTCACAAGTCAAAAGTTCTTTATAAAGAGGCTCATCAAAGCTTTAAAAAGCTTTTGCGTTGACTAAATGTAATATTTTGAGTTTTAAACATACGGTAATCAATTGCAATAACAGAACTAACTATAAATACACTCACCTGCCACAAACAAATCGTGATTTCTAACTTCTAGGTCAACACTGCTTTGATCTGGGCTCTGTGAAGACGATCCAGAACTTAAAATTGAGGGAAATGAATAACTTATTTATATAGTCAGCTGGAGAAAAAAGTTTTTAACAGATATTTTGTCATCACAACTCTGCAACAACAAATTATTCTGAATACAAATATCAAAGGACTAGGACTTGAGAGAAACGTACAAACTATGGACATTTTGCAGCAGACAATATGTTCCACATATGATAAAGCAGATTATTCTACATGTAGATTGGATACCTCAATTGCACAGGATTCCAATTTTTTCTTAAATAAATTGTAAATGTATATTTTAGACAAACATGCATAATGAAAATAAAAATCCAGGGATAATCGAACCTGAGGCACTTCCAGTGAGGAAAGATGGTTTCAGGAAAAATGAAAAAGGGGCTAGTTAGGAGGGAAATATGCCATATAGTTCGCTGCACCAGACGAATCACATAAATTCAGCCTCGCATCCTGCAGAAAATTTTTTTTTTTCAATATTATCATGACTTGTGACCAGGGGCATGCCCAACTCTTTTGCTGCCAAGAGCGAGTTTCTGCAAACGATGCCCCTTACGCTTAACTTCAAAAATAATTCGAGGGATATACCTAATATAGATGTTCTTATACATGAGAATGAAGGAAATTGAGTGTATTTTGTACAAAGCCACCCACCTTTGCAAAAACGTGATTTTTGCGGGAAACGCCCCCAGCAAACTAGTAATTATCCAGTTAGGTTTCGGAATGATTTGAACATTTCTGTATTTCCAACCTTATCTGAATAATTCTTAACTTTCTTATTTTGAGCGTTGCCGGGGGTGTTTTTTTAGCGAAGGTACAAACGATTAAGGTCAAGTAAGGGTGACATTTTGTTTATTTTTATGTAAATCGTCAAACCTATTTATCTACCGGTCTTCTTTATCAGTCTTCCTAAATTTCCAGAGAGCTGCGCCACTGAACATATGGTACTTAGTAGGTATAGGTATTACATTTCATGTTCACTGGGTGAAAGAAAATATCATACCCAGATTGTTGTAGTCAGCTTGCGAGGAGTTTTGAGGTCAAAACTCTTTTTAAAGAATTAAGAAAACTCAAAAACTCTCTGAAAAATCATTTTATGACATGTCGGGCAATATTATTATGACATTGCACTAAGAAGGATGTATAATTTGTTCCTTCATACAACTGTTGCACAAAACATGAAAGGATTTTATTTTAGGTTTACTCAAGTCATGAGGTTTTACCTCCAATAATACAAATATTAAGATTGATATATGAATTCTATAATTTATCAATTTCATGACATGGAAACCATCGTCTGTGTGTGGCAAAGAATAATCAAAGACTTGTAGAATGTATTCGTCATAAAACTTTCATGTCATAAACCCAGCGCAGAAAGAATGTAGATTTATTCTTACCGGTATATAATTTATGATTACTCCTCGACAACCATTGTTTGCACAGCAATTGAAACTCAACTGAAATACAATTTACTGTGTGAAAATTATAAACTTACATTACTGCATACCATCTAAGATGCTAAGCATAACGCGAAGATGATATAGCTTTCTGTGGTGTGCTTGTAAATTTCAAAACGTCTAAATTTTTTGTCAGGGCACCGCCCAGCCAAGTCAATGACCAGTCAGAGTCGAGCAGGATTTTGAAAACGACAGAGGTATTGCATAGATGGAGACTATGTTGACAGCAAAGACCTTTTCATTGTCTTGTTATGAAAATCTTGAAATAAAACTGGGATATGATCAAGTCCCCCAGTCACAAAACTTGCTTGGGCATTCAGGCCCACTTTTGGGTTCAGTAAAAACAATGCATTTTTGTGGCCCCCTTACCATAAGTTTTATTAAAATACTCAGTTGAATAATAGAACAGACACTTACATCACAACAGAAATATAAAATTTATAGATATGATTCACAAAGTCTATTTATCATATCAAAATTTATTCATTCATAGGACTAGTGCACATGAGATGAAACTTTCATAAATATTCACCATAGACAACCTGTTTCCATCGCAATTAGAGAAACCATGTTCTTCTTGTAGCTTGTGAAAAAACTAATATATACTATAAATATTTCTTAAATTTAATTTTCAAGCATTTCCAAATGACTTGCCTAGTAATAAAAATGCAGCTGACGAGGAGTAAGCATGTAGCGATTTCATTCTAGCTGGATAAAAAACTTGAAAAGTTGGAAGATAAGATTTAGAAACCCGCAAAAGTCTCTGCAACGACGATACTAAGATTTAATTTCCACCATTTTGCACTTTTATGACATGTTGAACAGCCAGCGTAATCTGCTGATATTATGCAATTTCAGCAAGGATATGTAATTTGTTCTTTTATATAATTATTGCACAAAACCTAAAAATTTAAGAATTATTTAATTCATTAGTTTTTACCTCAATACTATAATAGATATATTGAGTCTGATACATGAATTCTATATTTTATCACTTTTATGACATGGAAACCATTGTCTGTGTGTGGCTGTGGAATGGAATGTCTATTTGTCACAAAACTGTCATGTCATATACCTATCGTAGACAACGTGGAATTCTATTCTTATGTAATTGACCACTCATCAGTGGTTCCTAAACCGGGGTCCGTAATGCAGCCCCTACTTCTATCAAAGGCCTAATAAGTACCTCGCATGAATCTGTTCTGGTGCAGAAAGCATGGAATTCACATTTCATATAATTTACAATGACTTCCCTACAAGTTGAAACTTTTTTGCTTTACCAAAAGTTAGAAACTTTACTCTTGAGAAAACTTGTCAAATTCCATTTATTGTAAGCATTGTCATTTGCATAACAAAACATCTACTCTATTATGATTGAGTAATTTTATGATGTAGATTCTCTCCTTTATTTTTTCTATACATGTGGGTTCTCATTGAGCAAAATAATGGCTTTAGTCAAGACAGTGGTTCTCAAACTTTCTAAGCCGCACCCCTTTTTTAGAATTTGTCAAGTCTTGCACCCCACCCTCAAAATAATAAGCTAACAATAAGCTATGAGTAACAGATGGTCAGCAATTCCATAAATGCCACAGAGTGACATTTCACACATTTAATCAATTTTACTATATCAAGGTCTTGATGGTTTGCTACTTTTAGAAATGCCAATTGATAGCAGTAACAATGATGTATTTACCATAATTCACTTTTCACTTTCAACCAAATATTTTTCAAACGACGAGACAAAACAAGTGATGTCACGGAGTGACAAAAAGTTGAATGCATAAAATGACTGCAATATATCAAC